AAGTTACTCTTATTTGTAATTGACTTACTCAGATATTTCTTGTACACAATAACTATAATAACAAATACAATAACAAATACCATAACAATAACAATAGCAGCAATTACAATAACAAAACCAATAACAACCTTCACAGAAATACTCTCTGAAAAAGACACAAGTTAAACATAGTTTATAGTAAGACAGGGGGATTGGTATAGGATCACTTGTATAGGATCACTTGTACAGGATCACTAGTAAAAGATCACTAGTATAAGATCACTAGTATAAGATCACTGGTATAGGATCACTAGTATAAGATCACTGATATAGGATCACTTGTACAGGATCACTAGTATAAGATCACTAGTATAAGATCACTTGTATAGGATCACTTGTACAGGATCACTAGTATAAGATCACTAGTATAAGATCACTGATATAGGATCACTTGTACAGGATCACTAGTATAAGATCACTAGTATAAGATCACTGATATAGGATCACTTGTACAGGATCACTAGTATAAGATCACTATAAGTATAAGATCACAGGTAAAGAATCACTGGTATAGGATCACTGGTATAGGATCACTGGTACTAGATCAGAAATTTTGAATCCTAGAATATTAATACAATATTATAAATATTTTACTGTCTCAAAATTTCGTGTTTCCTATTTATTTCCTATTGCCTGTAATTTTTGTTCATATTACGCTTTTAGGCAGGCTGTAGATCCCAACCCCCAAAGAGGCAGAACCTTTCCACTTATTCCAATGTAACAAAAAGTTAGATATTTCTAACCTCATACCTCTAACACTAAGAGTAAATCCCGTTTTTGCTTCTCCGTGAATGTTGTTGACCAGACAGACGTAAAAACCTTCATAGGAACTGCTGATGTTTACAATTTTCAAATCTTTTCCAAACACAGTCTCAGTTAAGTTAATCAAATCATTTGATCCAAGAACTTGAAAATCTTTTCCCCATGTTACGTCGCACTTTGGGAAACACTTAGCTGAACATCTTACTTTTAAATCCTCATTTTTATCTACAGTTATCTCCCTTTGATCTGGCTCTAGTGTCACATCAATAGGAGCATCTGAAAATAAAGCTGAAAATTTTACTCAAACAGCTTGAGTGAAGATTGGTTGCCAGGCAAGAGAAAATACACAGA